CGTCAGTAAACGGTAAGGAGTCTTCTTTTTCTTCCCCTTCAGTGGTGAATTTAACCACCCTATGGGTAGTATTTACCAATATGATAATACCCAATAACACAGCTTGCTTATCAACTACAAAAAACACTTCATTCACGCATTGAAAATAAGGGTAACACCTGCTTCCTGTTGCGCACGGTGTTTGTGCTTCCAATTTTTACAAGATGCCTTATCTTTCAGATGATTATTAAGGTTTTTAAAGACTAGCTATATATCTATTTTACATCAGAACAGTAGTTCTCATAGATCCTACTTTGGACATCATAAGATTATCGTTTCTTCTTCGACAAACACGTAAATGAATTCTGTCTTGTTCAGGGGTATATTATGAGTTAATAATGAGAGTGCATGCAGGAGGAACATCTGATTTCCTTCTAGGTTCGCATTTTTTAAAACTGTAACAAGCATGTTTCTTGTAATTCCCCTTAGCACCGGTACTGAACGATTACCTATCCATATGGCTGTTGTCTGGCAGAATGAATTCTTAATGGAAACGATGAATTTACCATTCAGATATTCGAATTTTCGGCAGTCTATATATTTAGTGTGCTGCTAAACTAACCATAGTTTAAGACATTTGAAAAGGCCAGATATGTGTTCTTGTATCCTGAAGAGCTTTAAAATGTTTATTTACTAATGTTCTGTCTTCTTTGGTTGAACCTGATCTGTTGCGTTCCCAGTAAATTTGTTCTAGTCGTGCAGGATATTTTATATGTTGAGGTTGATCACGGAATTAAATACAACTTGACTTCATGCAGATCGATATGAACAGATGATTATTGGTTGAACTTTCCCTACTCGCACTGAGGATTGTCACTAAGATGTATGCAGACTATCTTGAATGTCATGAAAGTATCTCAGTGTAAATGTAATCCAACAAAAGAGCTGTCTGTGATTTAATACATCTTTGTCATGTCATTTCGTTTCGCACACAAACACACACACACAGTACGCAAGAAGGAATACCCATCCAGAAATGTGTTTTTGCCAATCTCACGCGCGAAACCGAAAGAACGCCTAAGATCCAGTTCGGAAAG